GAAAAGACTTTACTTCAGAAAACATTTGGGACCCATTGACCAGCCCCAAACCATCCCTGCCCTGCACCCGAAGCCGTCCCTGCCCTGCACCCTTAACGGGAGCTCTGGAATGTTCCTGCCTCCGCAGCCCCGTCACAGGCAGCAGTCATGGTGGTTTTCACTGTGGATTTGGGTGGTCAGGTTTTATTATTAATAATAAACTGTACAGTTGGGGACTTGGCAAGCTTGTGTCGGCTCTGCAGCCCTCAGAGTGTGGTCTTGTGGTGAGGACGCAGGGCCGGCAGGCCCCCGCAGTGGACGCCTCTCGGGGGCTCTTATGTGAGCGGGGCCCGGGGGCCGCGTCTTCCCCTGTGAAGGAGCCTCTTGTTTGCGCTGGAGGAGCTGGGGTGGGCTGGCACAGGGACACGAGGATCTCCAGCGCCTGAGCGTTTGAAAGCACGGCGCCCAGCATCTGTTTATTCTCCTGGGCTTTTTCTTAAAGTGAATTTCTTATTGAGTATTTAATAAATACCGTTACACTTGTAAACATTTACATTACTTTTAATTTTAAATAATTCCTGCACTTTTATTTATTGATACCAAGTAATGTGATGCATTTGACTGAACGGTGAATTCTTAGAATTGGTGGCAGTTTTCATCACGCTTAGCAAGAATACACTGTCTTTAATCAACTAGGTTTTGATTTAGAATAACAGCACCTGGGAATCTAAGACACACACCTCTTGACAGAAACTCGGGAGGGTGCGGAGCCGCGTGGCATGAATGCAGCTGCGCTTTCACCCACCATGGCTCCCACGTGCAGCCCCGCAGGGAGTGCAGCACAGGCACTGAGCAAGTCCTTTGCTTTGTGTAAAAATGACCTGAAAGGCTGTTTAAAGGTTGAACACCTGATGCCGAAAGTCATTAGGTGTCCCTTCTGTGAAGCTGCGCCTTCTTCAGAGCCAATGGGGTGGGATAAAAAGAGCACTCTCAGGCAAAAGCCAGGCAAAACCTGTGACAGCTCCGTCTTCTGGACTTGCCAGGTTCGGGCCACCGCCCTCCGGGAGCACAGCCATCCCTCCACACCTGCCCGCCCCGCCCGGAGCTGCTGTCCTCCTCTGTCTGCCCCGCTCGGCTGTTGCTTGCCCTATTCCTTCGGTCCCAGGCACGCTCTCTGCCCCCTGGTATGGGAAGAACATGGCCTTTTTCCTCCACCTCCTCGTCTCTGTTGGCCAGAACCGGCAGGCATCTCATAGAGCCTCCGTAGAAACCTCCATCCAGGGGATGAGTGATACCCAATGTGAATTTAAAAAAAAAAAAAAGGTCAAAGTAAAACTTAGGGTGGTCTGCTGTCCATTTATGGAGTGGGTTTTTTCATTCTCGAACTTGAAGTGAGAAGCCTGTTGACAGATGAGCATGTGTACCTGGAAGTGCAGAAACAGGGTGGGGTCAGGCTTGGCCCTTATTTTGAATACTGTCCTAATAAAGTCTGAAAGAAGACCCCTTAGTGATCGGAAAGATCGTGAATCTATGACTTACGTTTCTTGTGTTTCCTGCTGGCCAGGCCTGTGCGGGGCGTGGCTGGGGCATGAACCCCAGCAATGCCACCCACCCTGCTTGGGGTGCGAGCTTATCATCTGCATCACCCAACCCTGTGTGGAGGGAGCCAGGCTGTGGCCAGGTCACCCTTTGCCACCGAGTGGTGTTGCAGAAGCAGGGAGAGGGTGTGGGTCACAAAGGCAGGTCTGCTGGCCCTCTTCCTGGAGTGTGTGCCCTCCCTCGTGGAAGGCCAGTGGGTCTACAGTAGTAGCTGTCCCTGTGCTCTGGGAACCGGTGTTTTGAGGAACTAAGGCTGACTGCACTGACTTAGGGTCCGCTGGGAAGCGCTGAGGGCATCCTTGTCCCGCACACTGAGAACCTGCTTCCTGCCCTGCTCTGCTGTGTCCACTCAAGGACGGCCGTGTAGAGGGACCTGCAGGGCCATCCCCTCCAGCTGGCCATCTGGGTTCTCGTCGTCACTGTCACCTGCATCATTGTGCGATTTGACCACTTCCCTGTACCGTCAGCAGCATGGATAGAACCAAAAAAAACGTTAGCAGCGTAAGGCAAAAAGTCTGTGCTACCCACTTCATTTTGGATTTCGTCAGTAAAGCTAAGCTGATTCCTCGTTGGCAGATTTGCCTTCTCCTTTTGAAAATTGGTCATCTGTGTTCTCTGCTCACTTATCTTCCCCACCGCCTGGCCTTTCCTTTGATTCCTGGTTGTGGAGGCAGCTTGTATGTTTACAAGGTTAACTCTCTGGTTTAGGTCTGGGTCTGTTTTTTCAAAGTTCGCAGCCTGTTGCTGATAATCTTTTAGGAATCCCAGTGATCACATGCCTAGGAATGGTAGAAGCAAATGGTTTCCATAAACGTGTGGTATTCTCGCAAGTCCCCTTACAGACAGACAATTAGGCTGCAAGTGCTTGTAAGTAATGCTCACGTCTAAGGCTAGGTGCCTGGATCCCTTCTGTACCCCTCCCACCCAGTCACAACTCGGGTGATGAGACCATTTTCAGCAGCATGCGCTGGGGCCCATCACGGGCACAGCTCTGCTCGAGCAGTGACGTCATTTCCTCAGACCATGAGAGCCCCAAGCCTAAAGCCGGCTGCCTCCCAGTGGACCTTCCCAGATTCGTGCTGGTGGTAGTGTAGTTAACTGTGTTTGCTGGCCAGTCTAGTGCCGGCCCATCTAGTGCCAGCCCCACCACAGCCTGGGTGGACCCTGTTTCCAAGGGTCTCGTTGCTAGCAGGCATTGAAGTTCCACCTTGATGTAGCAGGAGTGGGGTTCTGCTGGGGACTCAGGGTGTATGTCACTGACAAAACTCCACTTGTGAGTGGCAGCAGACATTTGATATGTGATGATGGTGGCAAGGAAAATAGTTTTTCTAATGATATTAATTATTTATTAGCAGTTTGTCAAAATATCCATAGAGCCTTCGATGCTAAAATCCATTTCTGAGCCATGAGAGTGAGTCATGAAAAAATATTAGCAAACAACCCAGCGAATGAAAACCGAACACCAGAGCCAAGGATAAAGTTACAATCATTGCTTATTAAACTGTTGACAGGAAGAACGATTGCAAAGTTTCAAGGAAAGGGGGAGATTCACAAAGGAAAATGTAAACTAGATTCATAAAAACAAGCATTTGAACAGTTTACCCAAATTGTACAGGGAAACAAGAGGCAGGGTAAATGTTTGCGTGCACTCGCGCACACACACAGAGACATGCACACACACACACAACAGCCAAAAGTTGTGAACCAGGGCATCAGTAAGATCTGGTAACTGAGCTGACCTTACCTGAGGCGCACCTATAAATAGGCATTCTCATCCCCCAGAACACAAGGTGTTCTCCATCCACAGCTGGGGGATGAGATTGCCTATTTATAGCTGTAACATGGGGTTTCACCAAGCCAGGGCTGGCATATACTAGGCTCTCACTACAGCCATTATTATAGGAAACTCACATAACTCCAGTAGACAAAGCCATGAAACGCACACACACACAGATCCACACCACCACTGTGCACATCACAGAAAGATTCCTAAGAACAAATAAGCCAAGGACATGACATACCTTGCAAGACAGAAAATAAGTCCGTGTCCAGCGGTGCTCAGGGATACTTCACAGTGATGCTTGCTGGCTTTGTGGCTTTGGGAAGTGGTGATCTGAGGGGCAGCAGGAGGGACAGCTGACCCCGGTGCAGGTGGATGGGTGGTTCGGTGGCTCAATGTGTAGAGACACTTTGCTTTTGTTTTTTTCTTTTGAGACAGGGTCTCACTCACATTGCCCTGGGTGAAATGCAGTGGTGCAGTCTTGGCTCACTGTAGCCTGGACTTCTTGGGCTCAGGTGATTCTCCCACCTCAGCCTCCCAAGTATCTGGGATTACAGGCATACGCCACCACACTAGGCTAATTTGTGTATTTTTAGTAGAGACAAGGTTTTGCCATGTTGTCCAAGCTGGTCTCGAACCCCTGGGGTCAAGCAATCTGCCCTCTTCCGCCTGTCAAAGTGCTGGGATTACAGGCGTGAGCCTTGACAGCAATTTAGCAAGATGTGTTGCGGTTAGAAGATGATGCTTGTAGTCTTTCACAGCTCTGTCCTGAGCAAGTCCTTCCAAAGGTGGTCAGCATTACTCACTCAGAAATGTTCACTGCAGTGTGGTTTCTAACAAGCACACCTGCCTGCTGGTCAGGAAGTGGTTTTGTAAACCATGCTTCATCACCTCAAGGTGTGTTTTTAGCATTACAAACACCCCGAGTATTACTCAATACGAGGAAGCTGTTGAAGGCGCTGGAAGCACCACGCAGCCAGGTGTAGATCGGAGGCAGGTAGCTCAGCGCTCGCAGGCCCTGCGTTCAGGCGGTGAGACTGGCCTTGTTCGCCAGTTCTCCTTAACGAGGCTTTGAAAAATAATCACCGCCGCGGAAGAAAACCACAGTTTCTAATTCAGTCCCACTCGGTGCCGTGACTCTGCCTGAGCCTGAGCTGCCAGGCTGGAGAGGACAAGCGCTGCCCTTCGCAGAGCCGGCACGGGTGGAAATAGGCTGCCTGGGGGACCGTCCTTGTCCCCGCGTGATGCTTCCATCTGCACAAAACTTTCTCTCTTAGACTCTGCTTTGCGGCAGCAGGAATGCAACCACCGTGCTGCCAGTGCCTAATTCAGAGTGCTCTTTTTGGTCGGAATATTAAACTGCCTTCAGAAGTGGGTTTTATGTTAGCTAACAATCAGTCTTTTGGATGATTAAATCTGCATTTTAAATAGAAAGCAATTATGTAAAATCTTGACAGGAAGAAGACCGCGTATGAAAAACTCCTCATGGCCTTGGTGGCTCTTTGAGGAAGCTTCGCTCACAGGGCGCAGCGTGCTGAAGGTGCATAGCAGTCCCTGCCGTCCCCCCGTGCCCACTGCCCTGCATTGCTGCCATGGGCCGGAGCCACACTTCACCCTCCTGCTGTGCTTTCTCCCACGCCAGGTGCCGTGGCCAGCACAGAAGTGAAGATGAAGTTGCAAGAGTTTGTCCTCAATAAAAAGAAGGCGCTGGCGCACCGGAACCTGAACCACTGCCTTTCCAGCGACCCTCGCTACTGGTATGGGTAAGTGTGGGCGTGGGGAGCACCCCGGCCTCTCACAGGGCCCAGAGCACCGCGTGATCATTGGTAGATTTGCATGGACCCAGTTGTGCACCCACTGGGCAGGGAGGGAAGGCAAGGAATTGAAACCTCAGGCACAGTGGCGCTCGGATGTGGGTGTCGTGGTCTGGGTGCACTCTCGAGGCAGCCATCCTCACGGGGGGGCTGCCTCCAGAGGGACCGAGTGGTGGTCCCCGGGCTGGCGCCTGTCGTCATTCTTGGGAATGTTGTGCCGTTTTTCAGCCACAATAAGAACCGCTTACACTGGAACTCCTGTCTGAACCCTCAGTGCTCTGACAGCGTTTCCACCTGGCTTCTCATTGATTCTTAGGCTAGTCAGGAAGGCCCTGTGGTACTCCTATTATTTTACATTAGGAACCCCTGCCAGAGCCCACGCAGTTGACAGAGACCACAAAGGCCTGTTCATCTGAGGACTGGAGGAAGCCGACATGCCGTGCAAACGCCGGGCTTCGGAGGCGAGTTCACAGAGGCCTCGTGGGAGCGCAGTGGCGAGGTTGCGTGGCTTTAAACAGTAGCAAGGGCAACGGAGGATGGCTTTGAAATGTAGTTTTCTGTGCTCTCAAGGTTCATTTCATTTCTAGAAAAAAAATCCCTTAAGGGAGTTTTTAAAAATCAAAATATAATCAGTAATTTCATTGGGAAGAAAAATTAGCTATTCTCGAGCCTCAAAATGGACAGCTATCTGTAGTGAAACCCCCCACCCCAGATGCAAGCCCCCTTGTTTCCGTGGAGGCCATCAGCTACCCTGACACAACCCAACAGGCATTTCAATGGAGGTGGCCCACACCCTCTGCTCCCCTGGTCGCTGTGCCTGCCAGGGGCATGTAAGATGCACTCGGGGCAGATATACCGCCGGGATTTGGGTAACTCGACCAGGGACACAAAAGCTCACAAGGAGGAGTGGGAACCGGCGTCTGTGGGAGGCAGCACAGGACAGCAGTGAGCCACGGGGCGCGACACGGGACAGCAGTGAGCCATGGGGCCGCGACACGGGACAGCAGTGAGCCACGGGCCACGACACGGGACAGCAGTGGGCCACGGGGCCGCGACACGGGACAGCAGTGGGCCACGGGCCGCGACACGGGACAGCAGTGAGCCACAGGGCCGCAACACGGGACAGCAGTGAGCCACGGGGCGCGACAAAGGAGGAGGCTTCCTGAGAATCACTGGCCACCAGCGCCTGGGAGCCCGCTTTGGGGGGACCCCGATCTGCACCCCAGACCCAGTCCACTGCCTCGGCTGGTTGTGGAGAAGCTCCATTGTACCCTGGCTGGGCTGGGGTGTGGAGTTGCAGGGCAGAAGCAGCAAGGGACAGGAGTGTGGATCACAATTCGGGACCAGCAGCCAGGAGCAGGGTGGGCTGGGGCCTGGCGGAGGTTGGAGAGCTGGAGTGCAGAGCCTGCCAGGCCAGGACGGGGCCACCTTAGGTCCCCATGGGCAGGGAGGAATGAGGCAGCTGAGCAAGGGAGCTTTGGGTCGACAGTGATCGGAGTGCAGCAAACACGGGCCGTCCTTTCTGAGGAGGAGCTCGGGGTCTGGGAAGCTATGGCAGGAAGGTGCAGGAGCAGAGCAGTGGGGCGGAGGGAAGCAGGGGTGGCAGTGAGCACAGAGCAGCCCTGCAGGGCGGCCACGGCAGCATGCAGGAAGGTGGGGGCCTGCGCCTGCTCACCTGGGAGAGGGTGGAGAATGGACAGGGGCCGAGGCTGGCAGGAAGAGAGGCTGGACAGTGGCTTGGACTTGAGCAGAGGATGGAGTAGCAGGTCCAGGGAAAGACTGCACCAGCTGCTGGGGAGGCTTCAGGAGAAGGGGTGGCCTGGGGAAGCCTCAGGGCACTGGGCACCTGCTGAGAGACGGGAGATGGGGGCTTCCAGGGAGCAGGGGTGACAAACAGAGTGGCTGGGGCTGGGAGACTCACTTTTCCTGGAACTCCCCAGGTGAGCCAGGTGGTCAGGGTGGGTGTCTTGGCCTGGACAAGGCCAGCCTGCCCTATCTTTAATGGCATGGAGCAGGGGTACCTTGTCACAGAGGGCTCTGGGGACGCTCAGGCTGGAGGGGGAAGGGCTTGGTCTCAGGTCAGCGAGAGGACAGGTTTGTTTTCGTGGAGTCTGGTGCCTTTCTTGTTCTGTCATGTTTGAACCCTAATCTAAACATCATGGAGCGGTGGCAGAAGCTTTGTCAGAAAACCAGCTCTTCATGGGGGAGAGCTGAGACCATGACCCCAGCCTCACACCATGCACAATTAGTTCAGGTGTCATAGACCTGAGCTTAGATGTGTAACTGATGAAACTTCTGGAAGGAGACCTGGGAGAAACCTTCACAACCTTGATGGGGAGGGGAAGACAAGATTTCTTAGGTCGCCACAATCATGGACTGGATACCAAAAGCTCAAAACAATGCATTTCCTCAAACTGAAACACTTCTGCTCTTTGAAAGGCCCAACAAGAAAATAAAAAGGCAAGCTACAGAATGGGAGGAAATATTCACAATGCATGTATCTGACAAACCACTTGTACCCAAAGCGTAGATAGAGCTCCTATAACTCAATAATAAAAAGACAAGCAGCCCACTTAAAAATATGGGCAAAAGGTTTGAACAGGCACCTCACAAACAAGGCACAGGGATGGCCAGTAGGTGTGGAAAGGTGTTCGGTGTCGCTAGTCATCAGGTGAATGCAAAGCAGAGTGGAGGCAGGCGGCCCCTTCATTCCTGCTGGGAACAGGCCAGGGCTGGAGCAGATGTGGGGTCCGGCATCCCTGAGCCTCCACGTGCTGCCTGTTGGAATCTGAGTCACACAGCCATTTGGGGAAACAGACAGGCAGTTCCCTACAGTGACAAATACCCACCAGCTCTGTGACCCAGCAATGCTCCTTCTCCGGGTTTGCCCAAGACACATGAGAGCAAGCAACACCACGACTCGTCCTCTTACGGTCACAGTCGCCAAAGAATGGGAACAACCAAGCGCCCGTCATCAGGGGACTGGCTGCGCAAACGGGCACCCGACGTGCTGGTCTGCTACTCTGCAGAGATGAGGAACAGACCGCTGGCGCCTGCAGCAGCTTGCGGGACCCTCAGAGGCACGGTGCCTAGACAGAGAGGCTGCCCCCATGACTCCACTGATGAGAAATTCAGAGTCAACAAAGAGAGTTGATCATGGGAGAAAGCAGACCCGGGACTGGAGGTTGCAGGCGGCCGCAGAGGGGCGTGCTGAGAGATGGCGCTGGGTCTTCATCAGAGGTGGACTCCGTGGGTGTCTACATGAGTCAGAGCTCCAGCTTCAGACTGCTGTGACAAGATGGCACCTTCCAATGTGGCTGCCACAAGCCACACGTGGCTACCAAGCACTTGAAACGTGGCTGGGGCCAACCGGGTCATGCCGTAGATGCAAAGCATGGGATTTCAGAAGCTTGGTCCGAAGGACCACAGTGTCTCAGCAATAAATTTATATTGAGTATACGTTGAAAGGATTCTGTTTATAATGGTTAATAGAGTACTAAAGCTGATTCCACTCATTTCTTTTTGTCCATGTTAAGGTGGCTACTAGGAAGTTCCAAAGCTCTCACGTGGCTCCCGTCATCTTACATTTCTGCTGGAGTGTCCTGGCGCGTGTGGTTCAGCGTTGTATTTGCGGGAAATCCCTGGTGCAAATGTGATGAAAGGCAGTGGTTTGGAATGTCAATGGTTGAGTTTGTGTGAAGCCTGATTCTGCGGTAAAGCCAATGTTTAGAAGAAAACAGCTTCCATCTTCCTCAGGAAGACGAGGATTGCCTTCACATTGGTGTCCAGGTCGGCCCCAGGGCCCCGTGCAGGCTGCGCCTCAGCATCCTGGCCTGGTTTCTCTGTCCCATTCCCAGGCTGCAAGAAATGAACGGTTGAAAAACTGGAAGATAATTTCTGGCTGAGATGAGGTAGAGGGAGCAGCTTGGCAGGTTCTGCCCTTAGGGCTCTACAGGGCGGCCGGCATGACTGTGTGAGTGTGGAGTGTGGGTGGGTGTGAGTCCGGTGAGCTTAGTGTAGGGTGTGACTGTAGGATGCTGAGTGAGGTGAGTGTGAAGTATCAGTGCAAGGTGTGGGAGAGGTAACAGGTGTGAACATGGGATGTGGGTGTGTGTGGAGTGAATGGGGTGTGAAGTGGGTGTGAATGAGGTGTGGGTGGTTGTGAGGCATGAAGTGTGTGGGTGTGGGGTGTGTGTAAGGTGTGAGGTGGATGTGGGGTGTGAGTTGGGTGTGTGGGGGATGCAGGTATGAGTTTGTGTAAGGAGTGGGGTGTGTGTGAGGTGGGTGTGCAGTGTGGATGTGAGTAGTGTGCAGTGCAGGTGTGAGTGGTTGTGTGAGGTGTGAGTGGTTGTGTGAGGTGTGGGTGAGTAGTGTGAGGCGTGTGTCAGGTGGGAAAAGTGAGATGTGGGTGTGAGTAGGTGGGTGTGAGTAGTTGTGTGAGGTGTGGGTGTGTTTTGAATGAGTTGTGTGACGTATGGGTGTGAGTTGCGTGAGATGTGGGTGTGAGTAGTGAGGTGTGGGTGGGAGTATTGTGAAGTGTGGGGGTGAGTTGTCGGTGCAGGTGTGAGTAGCTGAGCTGCATGTGAGTGTCAGTGTGTTATGAAGTATGGTATGAGTGTGTGAGGTGCAGAGGTGAGTAGTGTGAGGTGCAGGTATCGGTGGGTGTGAGTAGTGGAGGTACAGGTGTGAGCGAGTGTGTGAGGTGCAGGTATGGGTATAGGTGAGAGTGAGGGAGTGAATAGTGTGAGGTGTAGATGTGATGGATGTGAGTTTTGTGAGGTATGGGTGTAAGTGGGTGTTACTAGTGTGTTGTGCAGATGTGAGTGGGTGTTGTGTGAGGCACGGGTGTGCAATTGTGTGAGCAGCGGGTGTAAGAGTAATTGAGGTGCAGCTGTGACTAATTGTGAGGAGCGGGAGTAATTATGTGAGGAGTGGGTGTGAATATATGAGATGCGGGTGTGAGAGTGAGTGTGTGAAGTGGGTGTGAATTGTGTGAAGTGCGGGTGTAATTGTGTGAAGTGTGGGTGTGAGCAGGTGTGAGAGTAATTGTGTGAGGTGTGGGTGTGTGAGAGTACTTACGTGAGAAGCAGGGAGGAGCAGGTGTAATTGTGTGAGGTGTGGGTGTAATTGTGTGAGGTGTGGGTGTGAGTGAAACAGTAATTGTGGTGGGGGTGTGAGTGAAATAATTGTGAGGTGCAGGTGTAATCGTGTGAGGTGTGGGTGTGAGTAATTGAGGTGCAGATGTAATTGTGTAGTGGGCGTAATTGAGGTTTGGGTGTAATTGTGAGGTGCAGGTGTGAGTAATTGTGTGAGGAGTGGGTGTGAGTCAGAGTAATTGTGTGAGGTGCCCGTGTAATTGTGTGAGAAGCGGGTGTGAGAGCAATTGTGTGAGGTGTGGGTGTAATTGTGTGAGGACTGGGTGTAATAGTGTGAAGTGCAGGTGTGTAATTGTGTGACGAGTGGGTGTAATTGTGTGAGGTGTGGGTGTGATTGTGCGGTGTGAGGTGCAGGTGTGATTGTGTAAGTTGCAGGTGTAATTGTGTGGTGTGGGTGTAATTGTGTGAGGTGCAGGTGTAATTGTGTGAGGAGTGGGTGTAATTGTGAGGTGCCCGTGTAATTGTGTGAGGTGTGGGTGTAATTGTGTTAGGTGTAATT